TTTTTCTTTCCCCAGTGTAGCAAAACTGACTAAAACTTTATGTAGAATATAACAATCCAAAGACTCTTTGATCATTAGAGCCATTCTCCCACTAATTGATATAGATTTATTCATTCCAATTTATATCCATATTTTGTATATATAGATGTATATGTAACAGTATTATTTACCAGCTTAATTCCCCCTTTTTCATAAACTTTCTTAGTTTTGTAGATTTTCCTTTCAAACCCAGGCCATGCTCTTAAAATCTTCATGAGACCCATTCTGCTTCTGGGAGATTCTGCTCTAAATTAATCATTCTTGAACGTGAAACAACTGGAATTCACACCAGCTTCTCACAGCTCTTACCACTGAGAAATAAAGAACACAACCAACTAAACAATTTGATTAATATAAACTAGAATATTTATTTGTAGTATTACTTTTATTTCTTTAATTCATTCCTTTTAAGTTTATTTTTGCCTGTCAAGCCACCTAAGTAGCGCCTCTTTATATTTAACATGGAATTACAGAATCCAAGGGTGGTTTGGACTGGAAATGACCTTGAAGGCCATGGGCAGGAACACCTTGTTGCTCAACATTCTACATATTTTTTTTTTCCACATTTCTGCCCAAAATTATTTCATCAGCTGAAAGCTTTTCTTGGAGAAGAATTATCTGGAGGTATTTGTTCTGTTTGACTTGCCTGGGTGGTGCTTTCACTTGTCTGTCAGTGGAGTTTTATATCAATGTCAACAGGAGCTGGAGGGTTCTCCTTCTTCAGGAACAGGCAAGAGAATTTAAAGAATATGGGGGGGAAATGTCAGTGTTATCTGGAGTAGCTTAATTAGAATTTTTAACGATGCTACAAGTGCTTTCCTCAGAGCACTTCCTGCTCTCTGTTCTGTGCTGTGGATCCAGGAACAGCCACAGAAAAAACTTTGGTTTTCTCATCCATGGTGCTGATTTCATCCTGTTGCACACAGTGATGCATCCCAAACAATCCCAGACATGCAGAGAGTTTTTTGAGTTGTGTTTCTAAATTTTAGGGCAAATTTCAGCTGAGAAAGTTCCACTTGAGATGCTGTTTGGAGAATTTATCCAGAGGGAATGTGTTTGGCAGCTGTGTGAAGGAGGTGAAGGAACTGCTTCTCACAGCCAGAGTGTAAAGAGTCTGCTCTTCAGAGAACAATCACACTAAAAAAATTTACATTTTTCTTGCTCATAGAAAAATTAACGTACATTTCTCCTTAGGTTTGATAACCAATAGGATTAACAATAATAATATATAATGGTAGTGTGTATTATATTATAATAGTTTAATTAGCAGTGGCACCTGTTAAAAAGAGTTCCGTTTTCCTCAAATTAAATATTCCTAAGGAATCACAGCCTTCAGTGATGGTGCATTTTCTAACTTTAATTATCCAGGGATATTTTTTACCAAGGAAAAACTCAAGAGCCTATACTAGAACAACATAAGGAACTGTTCAAAGCCTAGAAATTAATTAGGAATGAGATTATGATTTTCATGTGATCAGTGCTGGCTTGAATTTGTGTTTTTCATCATTGTTCCTGTCCTCAGCTTTCCCAAGGACCAAACCAGGAGAGTTGAATTGCCCAGGATTTGAGCTCCACCTTTGTGTTCACAAATCCAAATCTCCAAGTACAAATCCATGGAGCTTTTGGGGCACCAGGAGATCGCTTCCTTTTTCAAAATGAGCAGGAAAACAGAATATCCTGTTCTAAACCCCTGAGTCCAGGGAGGAATCCTCCCTCTGGCAGCAACGTTCAATTTAGGAAAAGCCCAAGATTTGGTGCAACCCCAAATCTTAATGCTGTTCCAGCAGGACAATTAAAACCCTCATTAAACCCTTATCTTCACCCAATTTCCAGGAACACCCAAATGTCCCACATTTGCATACAGCTCCTGTTGATGACCAAACAATTCTCCTCCCCAAATCATTCCTGAGTTCTTTGACACCCTCTGATAGCCCTTGACTGCCCGGTGCTCCTGCTTTCCTCCTCCTTCTCCCACAAAGAATCCTTTTCACCGAGGCTGGAGATAACCACCCTCATCCCCCTTGAGTTCTTCAGCGTCTCACATCTTCAACAGGGGAAAAAAAAAATTGAAAAAAATGTGTATTTGCAGCAAGATTTTTGAAATATTCGATATAATTCAAAATTTTCAGGAAAGGTTATTTGGGATGCTGTCCTCCCCATCCCCACATGCATTTCCTCCTTGCTGGGATCAGTGTCTGCTTCCCAGCAAAATGAGAAGTTTAAAAAGGAGTTTAAAAAGTTGAATTAACATAAAACTACAAAGACTGTTTAAAAAAAACCCAAGTCAGTGTTAATAAAATAAAAGATTTTTTAAAAATCTCACTTGGCTAGGGTTTAAGTAAACAGAATCCTTTCAGTCCTTTCCTTCCAAAAACCTGATTTTTCTTGCAAACTAGCTGTCCCCAAAAATGGATATATTAATTTTTAAACCAAATTAATTAAACGAAAATATTAATTATTTCATTTTAACGCCAGAAATTGAAACGTGAGCCTCAATCTGGACACTCAGGTTTACTCAGTCAACATTTGAACGGTAAAAGAAAATCAAAGCAACCCTCTCAGAGAGCTTTATTTTCTAGACAGTCAAAAAACTCCAGAATGCTCCAAGATCCACAAATATAATTCAATCACTTCCACAAATAAGGTTCAGTTGATAAGAATTTGTCATCATTACTGGACTAAAGGACTTCGGTTATGAAACTGTCTTACAAAACATTAAGAAATTCAACGACAGAATTTGGAAGATTTACAAGGGCTTTGCACCAAGAGGTCAAATGCACTACAAATACCAGTGCAGCATGTATTTCCTTCAGTGAAATACAGTGCATTTCTGTGCAAAAATACATTAAAATGTGTATTCCTAAATAAAGTCAAGTACAACGAGCTAAGTTTTAAGATATGTCGTCTTCATGGCCTTTAAAAACCTTTGAGAAAGAGATTCTAATAGAAAGAACTTCCCTAAAAACATGATTTTTGATTCTTCATCAAGCACCACAGGAAGGTTTTTTTTCCACAGCCAACATCATTTTCTCAAAGCTTGTAGAGGCTGCATCTACAAATGGAAGATTTCAGGAAAAAACATCCAGAAAACAAAGTGGAAAGCACAAGCAAACAGATTTACATGAACACCCCGGTCACAAAAACGTGGAAAAACTCCATCCTCTTCTACATCCAAAGGCTGAAAAGACTCCACGGGAAACAGAAACAAAGCAGCACAAAATGACAATTTCCCAGGAAACACCGAGTTTGGTGGAATTTTCCCTGTGGAAAAGCCACCCCCCGCCCGCCCCGGACCCCTGACAGCTCCATTCTCTAGGCACAAACACACGAGGACAATCTCTAAGACCAAAGACAGCAGGGTGAAGGGAAAGGTCTCTGCAGCCATTCCTGCAGCTTCCAAAGGGTTCATTTTCCCTGCTCCAAGTGTCTCCACAGGCTCAAAGTTCACGCCAGGAACTTCCCAACCTTGTGGAGCACCAGCCAGGACCAGGCTCAGCTGATATTCCAGGTCTAGCGGCTTCTAGCAATATTTACAATGAGGTGGAATCTTCATGACCAGAGCTGGTCACTAAATATTAATTGGATCCCTATTTACATTCCTGCCCCACTTCCATCACCGAATCTCCCAAGAAATTCAGATTATCCATGGCTCTCAAGGCAGGAAGTCCCTCCTTTATCACCCTTTGGTTTTTGGTGGACTCATCAAAAATCCAGCAGTCCAAAAGACAAACCCTGGGAGGTTGGAAGGTGCTTTTCCAAAGATTCCAGCGAGATTTACAAGCCCCACGTTTTGCTCAGGTTTTCAAGAGCACCAAGGAGCCAAAACCACAGCAGGATTGTCAGAGGAGCTCAACTCCAAACGTGGCACCCCCATGAGCTGTCCCTTCAATGTCCCTTAATTCAGATTGACTAAAACAGGGGCTCTAGAGCAGGGAATTTTGTGAAGGTCTTGTCCTGTGTTCCAGCTCCTACAAACTCAAATTTCCAGCTGCCCTGGAACAGAGATGACTGAAACTCACCCAAATTAAGGGGCAAAAAATAAAACCAGCACATTATGTGGTGACACTCATCAAGAACTTGGACCAGACCACTCCAAAATAAATCTCTTTTCCTTCTGCTCTTTTCAGCAGCCACCAGTAAAGCAAATTATTTAAAAATGTCTTTGTTTCTTCTTTCCTCATCCTACCTGGTGTGGCAACGAATCCTTGGCTGCACTTGTGAGAGCAGAATCACCTCTCACAAATAAATCTGACATGACAGTGGGATTGTTTCACTGCTGGATGAAACAGAGGGAGAAGCTGAATTGCTCTTTTTCAACGTGTACAAGAAAAGCACGAGGTACACAGAAAAAAAAAAAAAAAGCCTGGTTAAATCAGAGGGCTTTTGGGTTTTTTAGATTTGCCAAGTGGAAAATCTTTACCAAAACCCTCAGGAAACAGCACCAAGTGGGAGGAACTGCTCACTCTGTGTCAGCCAAATCTGCCTACAGAATTCTGCTTCAAATTTGCCTTTTCATGAAACACCTAGGAGCAGCAGAGTGAAGAAACATTAACAGTCTAATTTCACAGTATATTTCAGTTTTGTCCCTTTGTCAGGGAACAGGAGGTCACCCCTAAGCAAACAGGCTTTTTGGTGGTGCTGGGTTTTCTTCTAAAGCTTCCCAGCCTGAATTTTAACAGCTCTTAAAAACTTGCTGCTGGGCAGGTGAGAAAATCTCACCTCCTTTGAAAACCTTTAGCTGCTCCAGCAAAGAAACAGGAGGTCCACAGTGGAGGTAAAATAAAATAAAATAAAATAAAATGAAATAAAATAAAATAAAATAAAATAAAATAAATAAAATAAAATTAAATGAAATAAAATAAAAAAATAAAATAAAATGAAATAAAATAAAATAAAATAAAAATAAAAAATTGGATAAAATCACAAAACATTAATCATGAGAGGATCCCCAAATTCTAAAAGGAATTACAATAAAAGAGAAAGAAAAGGATTCCCAAAGGGCATTCAGAGCTCTTTTATAGCATATCTCAGATATTTCACTGCTCCTCAGCTACACCAGGTGTGGATCTGGTTATTCAATCTGCCACAGTCAGAATTCCCAAGGAACCTGCCTGACAGCTTTTAACTCCTATTGTAAAAAGCTGAAAAGAATTTGGGCTTTTCTCTTAGTCCTGGCCACTAAGACATCACTATTTGTGCTTAATATTAAATCCAAGACTATTGATATCTGAGTGACATTAAAGACACAGCTGAAGATTTACAGCCTGAGCTCTTAGGAGTGGAAGGTGCAGTAAAAATTCAGAAAGAGAAGCTTGATCTCTAAATTCCTGCAGTTAATTATGTGAAGTAGATTTATTCTTCCTGTCCTTTCAGCAGCAGCATATTTTTGTTGTGGTTTTTTTTTTGTTATCCTGGTTTTTCTGCCCTGGTTTCCAGGTCAAATCCAGTCTCAGTGAACATTTATGGTTCATAATTTAGATAACACTGTCCTTAAACAGAAGGATTACAGATTAGCTTGGACAACTCCCAAGGTAAGAGATGTAAACCACATTTCATGTCATCTTCAGAGAAAAGGTGGTGCCCCTTTCAGATCTGGGATTAAGGACGATGAGTCATTATTTAGAAGAAACCTGTCCCCAAAACAACCCAGAGGTGTTCCACCTGCAAAACCAAAACCAGGAGGCAGAGAAACTGCTCAAGTCCAACCTCTGTGAGCCCCAGACAGAAGATTCTTCACAGATTTCTGGTGCACAGCACTAAAAACTTAAAAAGTATTAAAAAATTCCAATTCTCCCCGCGATTTAATTAAAAAACAGAATAATAGAACCCAGCACAGTGTCACTGATTGAGCAAATGTGCAGTTTTCTGTCACAAACATCATCAGGAAACCTCTCAGTGCTCCCCCTCCCCTCTCACTGCTACATCAAAGTCTCTCTGTCCGACAAACTCCGGTGAATTTCCTGCTTGTCATCACCATCATCATCCTCAGCTGGCTCGTTTTCCTCTCCAGACTCCACATAGATGGGCCAATCATTGTCAGCATCCCCTTTTTCCTGCCCTTCCGAGGCCGTTTCCACCAGGCTGAGGTTGATGGGCACGGAGTCCTCGTGGGTGGTGGTGACACAGGTGCAGCTGTCACAGAGCCCGAAGCGCCTCAGCCCCTGGGACAAGCTGTTGGTGAAGGTTCTCCTGCATCCCTTGCAGATGATGGGTTTGTTGGAGCGATGGACCTGCAGGGAAAACAGCAAATTTTTTGGGGGGGAAAAAGGCAATTTGATGGTTTGGAGAGATTGATGGAAGAGGGAAACAGGCATGCTTCAGCTGAAGGGGTCCCATCATGAGTCTGGCCACAAAAATTTGGAGTACCCAAGTAGAAAAATCATGGAATGGTTTGGGTTGGAAGGGACTTAGAGTTTGTCCAGCCCATGGACACCTTCCTTAATTCCAGGTTGCTCCAACCTGGCCTGGGACACTTCCAGCAATGGGGAAACCACAACCTCACCACCCTCACAGGGCAGAATTCCTTCCCAAAATCTAATCTAACAGGCTGAGAGAACAAAACACCCAAATCCTTATTGTCCATTTCAGGAGAAATATCCAACATCCAATGGACAAAAACAACAAACCAAATATTATCATTAATTGAAAAGCTTCTCTCTCATTGGCAACACTCATTTCCCTCAGGAAATACAACTGGAAAGCACCATAAAAACCTCTGAAACAAATTCCCTGGTGGATATGTTAGAAATAACTATGTAGTCATTGTCTTTTGCAAATTATTATTAATCACAGTTTTGATATAGTACAGTTGTAATCACTTTTATTTGCTTTAATAATCTGTTAGCTCTCGTAGCCAATGCCCTGCATAGCATATAAATATAAATATATAAATATATATAATAAATATAAATATATTTATGATAAATAAATATAAATATAAATATATTTATTATAAATAAATATAAATATAAATAGAAAAAATAGATAAATATATATATACACTATAAATGTGTACTGTATATATATATAGTAGTGTGATAACTATGTATTATAGCAGAGGCTTTTGAAAAATATTAAAATAGAGACTATGTGTTGTGCACAGTAATGTTAAGTGCTTTTATTTATCAATGGTAGGAATAACTCAGATAATTGTGTGAAATAAATATGTTGATTCAATGTAGCATTTTATCTAAATGATGACATTAAAAAGATCCAGGAAAATAAACACCAAGAGGAAAAAATGCAAGAAATTTATGACTGAGCCTCCATTTATCAGAAAGTGTGAAACAACAAAACAGAGCCTTGAAAAAAGATGAAATATATGAAATTTCATCTGCAAGATGGCATGAAGACGAGGCAAAAATCAAACCAAGCAAAAGAATTCCTGGAACATGTAAGCTCACAGGAATATCTGAATATAACCCTCATGAACATGAATTTAACCGATGTAACAAAAAAAGTATATAAGAAAATTGTTTAAAGCTAAGAGCGGTGCCTCTGCCAGTTTACCAAACATCTCAACAGTCCCTCTGACACCTTGTGAAAGTTAAAAATTTGAAACATGTAAGCTCACAGGAATATCTGAATATCTGTAATTTAACGAATTTAACCAATATAACAAAAAATTATATAAAAAAACCCTAACAGCCGTGCCTCTGCCAGTTCACCAAACATCTCAACAGTGTGTTCAGTCCAATTAACACTTTGTGAAAATTAAAGCTTGGAAAGAGCCTGGTTTGTGAGGTGTGGCCTTGTGGAATATCTGAATATCTGTAATTTAACGAATGTAACCAATATAACAAAAAATTATATAAAAAAACCCTAACAGCCGTGCCTCTGCCAGTTCACCAAACATCTCAACAGTGTGTTCAGTCCAATTAACACTTTGTGAAAATTAAAGCTTGGAAAGAGCCTGGTTTGTGAGGTGTGGCCTTGTGGAATATCTGAATATCTGTAATTTAACGAATGTAACCAATATAACAAAAAATTATATAAAAAAACCCTAACAGCCGTGCCTCTGCCAGTTCACCAAACATCTCAACAGTGTGTTCAGTCCAATTAACACTTTGTGAAAATTAAAGCTTGGAAAGAGCCTGGTTTGTGAGGTGTGGCCTTGTGGAATATCTGAATATAATCCTCATGAACAGAAATTTAACCAATACAACAAAAAAGTATATAAGAAAAACCTAACAGCAGTGCCTCTGCCAGTTCACCAAACATCTCAACAGTCCCTTTGACTTGTGAAAATTAAAGATTGGAAAGAGCCTGGTTTGTGAGGTGTGGCACTATGGAATATCTGAATATAACCCTCATGAACATGAATTTAACCGATGTAACAAAAAAGTATATAAGAAAATTGTTTAAAGCTAACAGCAGTGCCTCTGCCAGCTTACCAAATATCTCAACAATGTGTTCAGTCCAATTAAAGCTTGGAAAGAGCCTGGTTTGTGAGGTGTGGCCTTGTGGAATATCTGAATATAATCCTCATGAACAGAAATTTAACCAATATAACAAAAAAGTATATAAGAAAATTGTTTAAAGCTAACAGCAGTGCCTCTGCCAGTTCACCAAACATCTCAACAGTGTGTTCAGTCCAATTAAAGCTTGGAAAGAGCCTCGTTTGTGAGGTGTGGCCCTGCAGGATATCTGAATATAATCCTCATGAACACAAATTTAACCAATATAACAAAAAATTATATAAAAAAAACCTAACAGCGGTGCCTCTGCCAGTACACCAAACATCTCAAAGCTGTGTTCAGTCCAATTAAAGCTTGGAAAGAGGCTGTTTAGTGCAGCATGGCCCTGGACTCACGCTGAGCGCGTGGCTGCGCAGGTGCTCCTGGCGCGTGAAGCGTTTCCCGCAGGTGTCGCAGGGGTACGGCCTCTCCCCGGTGTGAGAGCGGATGTGGCGCTTGAGGATCCCCTTCTGCTTGGCCGTGTAAGGGCAGAACGGGCACTTGTGCAGCTTGATGGGCACCACCAGCACATCACCTTGGGGATAAAAACACACTGGGTTAGCTCAGGCACCGTCTGAGCCGCTGCTCACGATGCTCGTCCTGCTCGTTTTCCTCCTCTTCCCTGTGCTTGGCTCACCTGGGATTTCCTCAGCTTGTGGCACTGCAGGATTCATCCAGCTGCCCTGGAAAATCAGCCTGAGTGCTGCTCACGACAGCAAAATGTTAATTTTATTTTAGGGAGTGTTTTAATTAAGTATCAAAAAATCTGCTTTTAGTGAAGTGGGGTCTCTGCTCCATCTCAGCCATTTCCTTTTTTTATTATTATACCATTAGCATTAAACAGCACCAGAAATGAAAACCTTTAACACAATCTGCAGGCAGGAACAGCACAGTTTGTCCATGTGTTTTCAAATTTAGATATGAAAGTATGACTCCTTGTTCCTACTGCTTTCCTGTTGGGAATAATGAGATGAAAGACTCCAATATATTTCCTGACAATATTTGACTGCTCCTAAAACCAAACCACAATGAATACACAATTTATGGAGTCAGGTGCAAAAACAGAATTAAACTTGAAGATCCCATTTTACAGAAATGTGGGCATTGCCAACTTTTCCAGCACCAGCCCAGCTTCCCTTCCAGCAGAAAGGTGGAGATGTGATGCCAAAGGATTAATTTTCCCTGTTCCAGGCCCTGATTCAGGGAAATGCTTTGTGTGTCAAGCAGGTGAGGCTGCAGAGCATTCTTTATATTAAGGTTTATCCAACCCACTATCAAAAAAGGTGTGTCTGGTGTTAATGATGTGAGTGAGAGTCGGCTCACCCCATTTTGGAGCTTCCCAAGGGATTGCAAATCCCTGCTGGGCATTTAGAGCTTTATTAAAACCCCAACCAACCCAGTTCTTAGTCCTGAATTGCTTCCAGTGCTCTACAGGCACCTGTGTCCCCTCCTTCTGCTATGAAGGATGACTGGAACAGAGGTGGACCCTTGAAAAGAAGTGACATTTATCTCTTCACCTGAGTGCACCATTCTTTTATCAAGACTTTATATTTTCTCATTTCTGGTGCCTTGTGAAGAAGCTGAGGCAGCAGCACCACTAAAAACTGAGAAACTCCCACTCTCCTCACTGCTACAAAGTCCTGCTTTAGCACAGAAACAGAAGGAAAATTTGGTTTCTTTTCCCTCACTCCTACTCAAAACCCATCTCCCACTAACATTTCTGACACACTGTCAGGACTCCTGATGTTCCCTATCAAACTCTGGAAGCATTTCCCTTTTAATGACTCATGAACAGCCTGGAGATGTTGAGAGAGGGGGAAAAAAAAAGGAGTAAAATTTGTGTGTTGGATGTTCTTGCCTTGCCACATGTCAAAAAGCAGCAGCGTGAGTGGTGACAGCCCTGCTGTGAGAGTAAACCTGGATTTGTGATTTTATCAGTGCCGTGTTTGATAGCAGTAAGAGGATCTGTCACTTTTATTTGCTCTAAGGTCACACAGGCAGCTTGAGCTGGAGATGACAGGAAAATAAACTCGCTGTCTACAGTCAGTGCCAGCCCTGTGGCACTCACGGTTTGTGAGAGCCACCTCCTGTCCTCAAAAAGCTGTTTGGACAAGGCACTTATGAAAAACCAGATAAAATGCCCAAATCTTTAATTATCCACATCAGGAGAAATGCACACTGGCACGATTTTCTTCTTCTCCAGGTGCCTGACAATGCTGCCAGGAAATATTCCTGAGATATTCCAACTGTGCCAGGCTAGGGGCAGCTGAAAAGTGAAAAAAGCCTCATCTTTATGCTAAACCACGGCATTGAAAGCTTTCAGTGCTCCTAAAGGACTCGTAGGAATCCCTCAGTGTTGGATAAAACTGATTCCTGCCCTCTGAAATTGCAAGCAGGAGCAAACAGAGCAGCTCTGGCAGGAGCTGTGATGGGATGAGCTCCTCCAGCTGCACCAGGTCCTGCAGCAGATCCCTCCTGTGGCAACTCAGCTCCTGTTGGATTGCTCTTTGTGACCATCAGGAGTGAAAAATTCTTTTAAAAAACGGATCTGCCATTCAGTGAGGTCCCAGTGAGTTTGTTTATTAAAAAAGAATCACCCCCAGCGCAGTCTGGGGCTGTCAGGAATACTCACCTGCCACAGCTGCACCGAACAAACGAGTACAGCTGCTTTAAAAGTGCACAACAAGAGTTTATTTCACCGTGCCAAAATATTCTTGAACAAGGAGTAACAAAAAAAAAGCTGCCCAACAAAGCTGTTCCCTCCTCCACTTCACAGCCTGCACACCCCCCCGAGTCCTCTCACCTGTGTCCTCACCATACCAGTCGCTGTGAATGTCCATCATGGAGCTCACGGCTACTCCTGCATCCTCAGCCCTACCCTCAAATCCCCGGACAAAGTGATGCACCACGTCCTCCTTCCTCGGGGCCGAGCTGTTGCGCAGCAGAGCCTCCAGGAACTGCTTCATGTGGTAATTATTGCACAGCTCCACGGGCTGCCCCTCTTCCATCTGCTCCAGCGATATCGGCGTGGGATACTGCGGCAGCCGCTCGCCCACCTCCACCTCCACCTCGTCGGGGTCGAATTCCACCTTGGGTTGCACCCCTTGGGGCAGCGAGGAGCCATCGGGGGAGTCGCTGCTCAGAGGGTCCCTGGCCACCAGCTCCAGGGGGTGGCAGCTGCTGCAGTCCCCGCAGGGAGGGTCCTGCTGGCACCCCGGGATCCTCTCCTTCTCCTGCAGGGAGGACACGGAGGCAGAGCTCTTGGAGCCCAGGGAGGTGCCCTCCCTGGCTGAGCTGCCGCTGTCAGCCTGGTAAAAAGCCGCTTCCCTCTCGATTTTCCTGCAGATGTCCAAGGAGGACCTGATGTAGGTTTTGCAGAAGTTGACCACGTCGGTCATCTGCAGGTAGCTGGCGGCGGACATCACCTCGATCACGTTCTCCCCGCACAGATCCAGCTTCCCGGAGTAGAGGAAATCCAGGATGATGGAGAAAGCCTCGGAGGTGACGATGTCCAGCGAGGCCGTGCTGTGCCGCCCGCTGTCCTGGATGTAGTGGATGAGCAGCGCTCGGAAGTAGCCGCTGTTGGCGAACAGGATGTTCTTGTGGGCTTTGAAGATCCTGCCCTCCACGATGATGCTGCAGTCGCAGAAGAAATCCCGCTTGCGCTGCTCGTTCAGCTCCCCCAGCAGCTTGGTGTAGTAGGACTGCACCTCCATGGCTGTGCCGGGAACAGAGAGAGCCGTCAGCACCGGTACACCGGGTATACCGGCCACACCGGGCACAGCAGCACACCGGGCACACCGGTACCGCGGGCACACCGGGCATCCCGGCACCGCCACCTCCTCCCGGCACCGCGGGCACACCGGGTACACCGGCACACCGGGTACACCGGCACCGCCACCCCCGCCCGGCACCGCGGGCACACCGGGTACACCGGCACACCGGGTACACCGGCACCGCCACCCCCGCCCGGCGCTGCGGGGACACCGGCGGTACCGAGACAGGAGGAGCCGCGCCCCGGAGCCACCGCCAAGGATCGTCCTACCCAGCCCCGGGGGTCCGTCCCGCCCGGTACCGGGGGTCCCACACCCCTCCAAGGACCGTCCCGCCCGGTACCGGGAGTCTCGCATCCCTCCAAGGACCATCCTGCCCGGTACCGGGAGTCTCGCATCCCTCCAAGGACCATCCTGCCCGGTACCGGGAGTCTCGCATCCCTCCAAGGACCATCCTGCCCGGTACCGGGAGTCTCGCATCCCTCCAAGGACCATCCTGCCCGGTACCGGGAGTCTCGCATCCCTCCAAGGACCATCCTGCCCGGTACCGGGAGTCTCGCATCCCTCCAAGGACCGTCCTGCCCGGTACCGGGAGTCTCGCATCCCTCCAAGGACCATCCTGCCCGGTACAGCATCCCCGGGAATGCCAAGGACCGCCCTGCCCGGTCCCGGTATCCCTTCCGCTCCAAGGACCATCCTGCCCGCCACCCACCGGGTGTTCCTGAGCACCAAGAACCGTCCTTCCCAGCACCAGCATCCCCGGGAACGCCAAGGACCGCCCTGCCCGGTCCCGGGATGCCTCGCCACGCCAAGGACCGACCTGCCCAGTACTGGGACCCCGCCCTGCGCGGTACTGGGATCCCGCCCTGCCCGGTCGCGCGGTGCCCCGGAACGTGTCGCCGCCCACCCTGAGGATCGCTCGGTGCCCATCGCTCACCTCCGCCCGGCCCCGCTCCCGGCCCCGCTCCCGGTCCCGCCCGGCCGCCGTACCCGGGCCGCGCCCCCGGGGCGGGGACAGGAAGTGACGTCAGAGAGGCTCCGGGGCGGGGCCCGCGGGGTGAGGGGTCGGTAAATATTGGTGACGTCACACCGCCAAGATGGCGGAGGGGTGAGAGGGGCACGGCCGGGGGGCGGTGGGACCGAGACCGGGACCGGGATCGCAGTGGGGATGGGCGGCGGCGAGGGGGGGACCGGGGCGGGGCTGGGGCTTGGGGGACGGAATCTGGGGTCAGGATCTGGGTTTGGAGTCGGGATCTGGAGTCCGGCTCTGAAGCTGCGGTTTGGATCTGGGATCTGGGGTCTGTGTGTGGGATCAGGATCAGGGGTCTGGATCTCGGTCTGGGTCTGGGGTCTGTGTATGGGATCGGGGTCCGGATCTGGGTCTGGATCTGGGATCTGGGATTAGGATCGGGGTCGGGATCTGGGTCTGGGATCGAGATCTGGGATCAGAATCTCGGGTTTGAATCTGCAGTCTAGCTCTGGCTCTGGGTTTGGGATCTGAGGTCGGGATGTGGGATCTGGGATGTGGCAGCTCGGTCTGGGATCCTGGTTTGGGGTTGGGATGTGGGATCTGGGTGTGGGTGTGGGCTCCGTGCTCGTGTGGCTGTGTCGTGACGCCGTGTCCTGTCCCCGCAGGGAGGACGGGGGCTGGTGGCGGAGCTGGCTCCAGCAGAGCTACCAGGCCGTCAAGGAGAAGGTGGGAACCGCCGGGATGGGCCGGGAGCGGGCGGGCGGGACCTGCGGGGCGGCCCCGGGAGCCCAGCGAGGCTGTGGGGCTGCAGCACAGCCCGGGAGGGTCTCCCCAAACTGGGATGGATTTTCTGGGGATCTTCTGGCTGTGCGAACACTGGGTCATGTTGGGCTGTGTCATGTGAAAATTACCCCTTGAGCAGAGAGGGTTGTGCTTCCAGCGTCGCTTTGTGGTGTGTAATTTCCTGCTTGTGTTAATTATACACAAAACTTAAACCCAGGCTTTTCCCAACCTGTGTTTTTTCTAGTTTTGGGTTAAAAACCTCCTGGAATGTGTTTTGGGCATAGCAGATGCAGTTGTTATTCAGGTTATTCTGGTGTTACGCGTTGCCCAGGCTGGGCTGAGGGCTCAGTTGGGCTAAACTCTCCCACTTGAGATTTTGTAACGTGCTGGGAGCGATCATGGCTTTGTTGGGGATCCAAAAGTCTGGAGAATGCATCTGCTGTCTCCTTGCAGTCCACAGAGGCTCTGGAATTCATGAAGCGGGACCTGGCTGAGTTCACCCAGGTGGTGCAGCACGACACCGCCTGCACCATTGCCGCCACCGCCAGCGTGGTCAAGGACAAGCTGGCAGTGAGTAGGGGCTGGGAGAGCTTAAACATCATCCAGTGCCACCCTGCCATGGGTAGGGACAGCTTCCACCATCCCAGGATGCTCCAAGCCCTGTCCAACCCGGCCTGGGATAATTCCAGGGATGGAACAACCACAGCTTCTCTGGGAATTCCATCCCACCACCCTCACAGAGAAGAATTCCTTCCCAATATCCCGTCTAACCCCACCTTCCTTCAGCTTGAGGCCATTCCCCCTTGTCCTGTGACTCTGTGCACTTGTGGGTGAGCACAGAAGGTCCCTGTGGTTCCCTCTGCACTGTGCTGAGCAGAGGTGACGCTGGCAGTGTCACTGTAGGGTGACACAGCTCTCCACACGAGCTGTGAGCCTCGGCCCTGCACAGCTGCCGCTGGGACAGTCCCAAACCAGGCAACCCCAAACCTGGCTGTGTCCTTCCCACAAGGCCTCAGTTGTCCTCGGGGCAGGTGCCTCCCACCAAATCCTTCCAGCCCAGCCTCCTCCACAGCACTTTCCTGAAGGGAGAGATCCTGCTTTCTTAAGGATCCTAGCCAGAAATTCTGGGATGTTACTGACACTGTACTGCCTCTTCCCTCGAAGAGGGCGGAAGGCTCCTCAGGTGCCACTGAGAAGGTGAGGAAGGGGCTGTCTGACTTCCTGGGGGTCATCTCGGATACCTTTGCTCCCTCACCGGACAAGACCATTGACTGTGACGTTATCACACTGATGGCAACACCCTCAGGTACCACCGAGCCCTACGACAGTGCCAAGGTGATTGTCTCATTCTGGGGTGTGGCATCTGAGCCCTGTCCCCCAGCTCTGCTGCTGGCCCTCCCCTGACAGCTGTCCCCGTGTGTCTCCTCCAGGCTCGACTCTACAGCCTCCAGTCCGACCCAGCCACCTACTGCAACGAGCCTGATGGTATGGGAGGGTGCAGGGGGGTGCAGGGGGCTGTCCCTAGAGGGTCTGGGGGCCAGCTGGAATTCCCTGAAGCCTTTGGCCACCAGTACTTGGCCGTAGTTGGGATCAGCTATAAAGAGCAGATCCGGCTCTTAACCTCAAGGATCAGCTTAGGCTGAATTTACTGGCCTGGTTTAAATAGGTGCCTTGGACTGGTGGAGGGGTTCTGAGCCCTGTCTCTCTCTCCTCCTTTGCCCTAGCATCTCTCCAATGAAACTTCCCCAAACTCTGGCTTGTGCCAAGGATTGTTATCCCTGTGCTTGTCCCAAACAGGCCCCGCTGAGCTGCTCGAGGCCTGGCTCTCTCAGTTCAGCCTGGAGGAGAAGAAAGGGGAGATTGCAGAGCTGCTGGCAACCAGCCCTTCCATCCGGGCACTCTACACCAAAATGGTGAGGCCCTGCCTGGGGAATTCCTGACTTGGGGAACGCTGCAGGAAAGCCCTGAGCTGTTTGTCCCCTGCAGCTGGAATGGAAACAGCTGTGGTTGTGTGGTAAACTATGGAAAAATGGTTGGAATAAAATAGGAGCTGCAGGCTTTGGGAGGAGAGAGGGGCACAGCAGCAGCTGCAGCTCTGTCTCTGAGGGGCTCATCCCTTTCCCTGATCTCTTTCCCAGGTTCCTGTGGCTGTTTCCCACTTGGAGTTCTGGCAGCGCTACTTCTACAAATTGCATCGCCTGGAGCAGGTGGGCCAGGCTGGGGGGCTCACTGGGGGTGCTTTTCCTGGGAAAACAGGGATCTGGGCTGACTCCTTGGAATCAGTGATGCCAAAATGCCTGGGGGAAGAAAGGGACTGGGGATGTGAGTAGCTGCTGGTGTTGAATTCCCTGCAGGATGAAGCCCGGAGGGAGGCTCTGAAGCAGCGAGCGGAGCAGAGCATGCACCAGGAGGAGCCAGGCTGGGAGGAGGATGAAGGTGAGACAGGTTTTGGGGCTCTGGGAGGTTTGTGGAGAATTTGTCCTGGGGTGATGGCTCCTCCTCAATCCCACAAATGCCAATGGGCAGTGAAGGGGCAGCTCTGATCTCTGCCCTGTGACCAGTGATGGGATCTGAGGGAATGTCTGGAGCTGTCTCAGGGTGGTTTAGGTTGGATATCAGGAAAATGCTCTTCCCCCTGAGGGTTCTGGGGCACTCCAGGGCATGGGCACAGCCCCAAAGCTGCCAGAGCTCCAGGACAGTGCTTTCAGGGATGCACAGGGTGGGATTGTTGGGATGCCTGTGCAGGGCCAGGGGTTGGACTGGATGAGCCCTGTGGACTCCTCCCAGCTCAGGACATCCTGTGATTCTGTGAAATCCAGCTCCCAGCCCAGCTGCTGCTGCACTTGCTGAAACATCTCTCACTTCTCTTCTGCCTCCCTACAGAGGAGTTCTTGGGGATGTCCCCCCTGCCTTGTGCAAACATCACATTTCCAGGAGCAGCACAGAAAGAACCCGCCCCAGCAGCCCCGGAGGGAAACCACCCTGCTGCTCCCAAGGGCCCCTCCGGGGAGAGCTGGGCTGTGCTGCCCCCAGAGCTGGTCCCAGTGGAGCAGAGCCCCTCGGAGAGCAGCGAGAGCGTGTCCCTTGTGACTCAGATTGCAAACCCTGCCTCTGTGCCTGCCACCCAGCTACAGACTGCAGCTGCACCCACGGGCACCGGGGACCTCTCCCAGAGGCTGGTGGAGGCCACCTTGGAAGAGCAGAGCTCCCTGGCAAAGCCCTCAGAAGCTGCTCATCCTTCTGCACCTGCCGAGGAATCAGCAGCATCCTCGGAGCCGGCAGCAGGAACAGAGCTCAGAGAGCTGGAGAGCAAAGGCAGGACAGAGACTCTGAGAGAGGAAGGGCCCACAGACCTGCGAGTCTTCGAGCTCAACTCAGATAGTGGCAAATCCACCCCCTCCAACAACGGCAAGAAAGGTTTGTGTGGGGCCTGGGAACTCACTGGGAGGGGCAGCTCTTGGGGAAAGGGCTCTGGGTTTGTGGTGGTGAGGGAGAGGAAAGACATCAAAGGTCTGCTGGCTGAGCAAAACAGACTTTTGTTCCCTGGATGCCAGGAAAGGCTGTGTTATGTGGAGGGAATGTGGGGATTCCTTCCCCTCTGCCTGTCATCCCCAGAAGTGTCCCTGCTGGGACAATGACAGTCCCCATATCTAAATCCCTCCCGTCCTTCCATATCTGCTGCATTTTCTGTGTGACTGGAACTTGACACATTCTAGTTCTCCCAGGCCAGAGGAGAAAATGTTTCAGCACCCACCTCTCCCTCTTGTTCTGCACCAGTCCTGGCTGTGAGGGACACAGGCTCAGTCCATCCCATCTCTGTCAGGGAGCTGTTCCTAGGAATGTGGAGGCTTTCCCTCCTCAGGCACGCTGTGGTAGCTGTGAGCCTTGGGAATTCCAGGGCTTTGGGGACAGCTCTGGTGGCTCAGTGGGGATGTTCGTGCTTCCAGGCTCCAGCACAGATATCAGCGAGGACTGGGAAAAGGACTTTGATCTGGACATGACGGAAGAGGAGGTGCAGCTGGCGCTCTCGAAGGTGGAAATGTCTGGGGAGGTGAGTCAGGGGAAGCACAACTGCCCCCCAAAATCATCACCAGCCCCGCAGGGTGCTGCTGCATGAGCAGAGTGGGGCTGGTGGGATGAGTGTGCAGGCTTCCCAAGGGGAGCAGAGCAGGCAGATCCCTCTTGGGAAGGTGTGGGAGTGTGAGGATACATCAGGCTTTGTGCTGGCTCCGGTGCCCTGGACAGGAGGAGCTGTTGAGTTACAGAAACAAGCTCGGAAATAGTTCAGAAATTAATTTCCTTTTGTTTGCAGCTGGAAGATGAAGAGTGGGAAGACTGGGAATAAAGCAGCTGCTTCCAGTGTGTGTCACAGGCTCATTTCCACCATCGAATGTGAATTCAATCACGGACCGGCTGTTCCTTTGTGTGTGACTGTGCTGGGGGTTGCAGTTCCAGGCTGGAGGAGTTAGATTCCTGCTAAAACCTCTGGGCAGCAAGTGACCCCTTCAGATCCAGGAGGAGGAAGCAGGAGGTCACTGGCACACAGGAGCCCGACTTCTGCAGAGGTCCTAGAGACTGGCCAAGCCAAAACTGCCCCTGATGTGTCAGGAAGAAGCAGAGTGAGGGGTCCCTGGGGCCAGCTGGGCACTCAGAGCCCTGCCAGGTGTGTTGGGTGCTGCCAGGCTGCCAGCTGGCTCCTTCCTTGCTTGTGTGTGCACGTGTAACCTACAGCTGAGAGGCTCCTGGATGTGGCTGTGCCTGCTCCGCTCGCTGCTCCGCAATTCCCACCCAGAAAGCAACACCCAGGGAGGGCCTGAGGTCTGGAGGTGCTGCAGAAAAAGGCACTTGGCTCATGGCTTTGACCCTAGAAGGAGCCAACCCCTGCCAAACCCTGAGTTTCTGCCTGGCTTTTTGTCTTGGAAGCTTTTTCTCAAGGAAACTCCCGTTTCCAGCAGTTCCTCGAAGAGCCACGGCCTGCTGCTCCCCCCTTTGCAGCTGCACCACCTTCCTGCACTGGGTTTTGTGTCTTTCTAGTTAAATTCTCCAAGCAAAATCCTCGTGGCTTGCTCTTACTCGAGCCCTGCTGGGCTGGCAGTGGTTTGGGTCACCTGGGAGCAGAAGAACAGAACTCCTCATGTTGGTGCCTAGTTCTGCCCTTGCAAAGGCCCAGCCTGACCCACTGACCACTTCAACCTCTGCTTGACCAGCCTGGGGAGGGAGAGGCTCCCAAATCCAGGTGGTCCCTGCTGGCTGAGGCTGTGTGTCCCCATCTGACCCCGTCCCACCCGTGCCAGGCCCTGCAGCCACCACGAGCTTTGCTGTGCTCGCTTGGGTTCCTTCAGTTCAGTCCCCGAGACTGCTTGCAACACTTGCTTCAGCCCCACAGCCTCTTTTTGGGGCAGTTTCCTTGTCACAGCAGGAGATGCTGCTGATGCTCAGTTATCCCAAGGGGACAGTGCCCTTGCTGCTCTCCCTGGCCTTTGGGGTGGTGGGGTGACACTTTCTGCCTTTGTCCTGCCCCTTCCAGGGCTGCTCCACTGGGGGTGGGGGTTTCCTGCTGGGTTTGGACAGCATTGAACGAGGCGCACTTGGCAAGAGTTGGGGTTTTGGGGTTGGGTTTTCCTCCTTTGGGGTGACTCCTGGTGGGAGCATCCCTGTCCTGACAAAGCCCTGGGGACAGCTCTGCTCCTGCCTGGGGAGTGGTGGGTCCAGCAGAGCCTCACCTTGTCCTGGCTCAGATTATGGTGGGCAGGGGACAGAGGACACCAGTGGGGACCTGGGGCTGGTGTGAGTCCCAGCTGATCCTACAGCAGAGCTCGAGGGTGCAGCACCTGTGTCACTTTCTTTTCTTCTTTAGTTGAATTAACCATTGGGTTGGTTGTGCAATATTCTCTGTTCTTGAACTATTCCGCATCTCCCTGAGCCTTTTCTAGCTGGGGTGACAAACCAGGAACAATTCTAACAGCTGGTAGTTTTGTAACAATGACTTTCTCCAAACCTTTTACAGACTTGCAGTTAACAGCAATTAAAGGAGTTCTCAGAGTCTCTGCCTGTCCCCGGTGTTCTCATTTCCTGTAGGGTGAGGATGACACAATTTTTCTTTCATCTCCCTCAGGAGAGGGAAAGGAGCCCCCACTGCCCCAGGCTCCTCAAACTCTGTCCCCCGCTTTTCAGGGCTCTGAGTGACCCCACAAACCCACCCAGTGTGACTCAGAGCTTGTTTCTGCCTGGCACATCACCCGTGAGCCTGGCTGGGTGGGAAGCACCATCCATTGGGATATTCCCACATTCCATGACACCACGGGGCTGCTGGCACTGGAGGGATTTTGTCCCAAGGATCCCTAAGGGATGCTGCTTGTGAGGAATGCTGGGCTCCACCAGCTCTTCCCCTTCTTGCAGCCAAGGGAAGGGGACACGAATGAGGGACATGAGTGGCAGGACAGGGGACAGAACCCAAGTGATGGGACACAAGTGACAGGACATGAGTGACAGGTGACAGGACACGAGTGACAGGACAAGTGACAGGACAGGTGACAGGACACGAGGGGCAGGACACGAGTGACAGGACACGAGTGACAGGACAGGTGACAGGACAAGTGACAGGACACGAGTGACAGGACAGGTGACAGGACACGAGTGACAGGACACGAGTGACAGGACAGGTGACAGGACACGAGGGACAGGACACGGGACACGGGACAGGCG